CGTTCGGGGCCTCAGGAGGCAGGGCACGGCTCCTTGCTCCCCTGGATTTGAGGCCACTGTCATAGCTGTTCCTTGGGGTTTGCTCCGGGTTTGTTTTTTTTTTTTCCTGTGTGGCTCATCGTGCCTTGTAAAGACAAATTTCTTTGAAACGGCTCTCCAGATTGATTTAATTCAACCGTATAAGCAAAAGTAAAGAATAAGAGCCCTTGACTTTACTCTTTGTTGTCTGCGTTTGCAGGTGACTGAATTACGACTTGCACGGAGGGTTGAAAGTGCTGTCTTCTTTATTTCAGAGCTCTAGGGGAAGATGTTGTCTCTTCTGACATCTTGCGATTAAGATACCTGAGAACAGGTTCAGTAAGAATCCAAGTTCCTGAAGAAGACGCTGACGAACGTATTGAAATAAGCAGCTGTAAACACTTTTTGTTTTCTCTGTCGCCGACGCTGCGTAAGGAACCGTAATCTGAAGCACTTCTCAGACGCTCGCCCAGATGCATGAAGCCTGCAAAGCTCGCTGTCCAAACTGATCCTTTCTTAGCAAGCGGCGCTTACCCACGTTTGCGGCGTGTACGTAGTGCTCCGAAGAAAAACCGCTTTCTCTGTAAAATTCCCAGAAGGAAGGCTTCATTACGGACAGCTCTTCCTGGATGTATATCCAGAGAGATTAATGCCTAGCGTTGAAAGGCATTTAGTATATACTGAAAAGTTGGCTTCCCCTCAGTTCCTCCAGATGTGTTGTCTCGCCTGTGTTCTGGGAACGCGCGCAGCCGCCTAAGCGGCGGATGCGGCCATGGGGCTGCGCGAACTTCTGAGCCGTCCGAGAAGCGTCGCCGAGCGTTGGGATCGGACGCCGCTTCACGATGTCAGCTGAGCTGTGATTGCGGTAACGCTGCTGGGAATGAAGCATCCGCACGGAGCGACACCCTTCCTGAGAAGCGGCTGCTAAGGTTTACGAGGAAGGTTCTCTGATTGCCGTAATTCCCGCCGGGATTTTTTTTTTTTTTTTTTTTTCTCCCCTGTGCAAGGTGAAGGTGTGTCTCCCCGCTCTGAGATGCTGAAGGTGTACTGCTGCTTGTGACAAATCCCAGAGAAGAAGTTTTATAAAATGGCTCAAACCAGCTTGCTGCAGGGAAAGCCGTTTTACTGTAGGGAGTGGGTTTTCCACAAGCTTCAGCACTGCCTCCAGGAGAAAGCTAACTGCAGCAGTAGTGCTGCCAACAAACCATCTCTTGTAGCGAATTCTGGGAATAATACCGGCGTTGTCTCTGGGAAAGGAGCCGCCTGGGGTGTATTGTTGGTAGGAGGGCCCGGCAGTGGGAAGACGGCCCTCTGTACCGAGTTACTGTGGCCAAGCTCACCTGCAAACCTACAGAGAGGCCTACACCGTCAGGCTCTGGCCTTCCATTTCTGCAGGGCCCAAGACTCCGACACCCTGTGTGTCGGGGGGTTTATCAGAGGTTTAGTTACACAAATCTGCCGCGGTGGACTGATCCAGGGATACGAGGACAAACTAAGAGACCCCGCCATTCAAAGTCTCTTGCAACCCGGGGAATGCGAGAGGAACCCTGCTGAAGCGTTTAAAAGGTAAAAAAAAAAAAAAAAAAATCCAAAAAAACCCCCCTATTGAAAATAAAACCCAAACAGAAGCCAGCATGGCTTTTGTTTAGATCTTCCTTCCAAAGAGTCTACCATGCAGATGGTTTAAACGTGTTTGTTTCATGGCTTGTTACCAATGTCAGAGCTTGCAGACCTACCATGGGAGAATCTTAAGTTTGTCCTTACAGCTGACATAAATATTTACTTTTTAAAGAAAATTTACTATTAACAGTAAATGTATTTACATTTGTATATTAATACGCTCAATTGTCACTGGTGTTTTGGAAAGACTTTGAAGTAAGTGACTTCAGAGTGGGAGATACCTGGTCAGTGGCCTTCCGGTGCCATGACGGTGGGGCGGTTGTCCTTTGTAGACTTGAAACAGGCCCTTGCAAAAGCTTCCCATGTTGTGCTCTTTCTAAGAGGAGACTAGACTAATGGATCTTTGGGTCTCATCCAGCACATTGGTTTTATATTTGTCTAAAAATATGTGGTAGGGAAATGTCAATTAACTCCTTATGTTGCTTCTCACAACATGCACAGGTTCTGTCAAATCCTTATTGCTGCTTATAAGTACTCCAGAGTGTTGAGTGGATCAGAAATTTATCAAGGTGGCTCACCCTGCCCCTTAGAAGGTTTGTCAGCTATGGAAGCTGAATGAAAATATTTATTTGTTGTTTTCACTTAATGTTCCCTAACAAACCAAAGTCTCTTCAGTATGTGGAGGCCCCATCCCTGGAAACATTCAAGGCCAGGTTGGATGGGGCTCTGAGCAACCTGATCTGGTTAGCGGTGTCCCTGCTCCCTGCAGGGGGGTTGGACTGGGTGACCTCTAGGGGCCCCTTCCAACCCAAAACATTCTATGATTCTGTGTCACTGAGAATTTTCTTTCTGTAAGGATCCCAATGCGTATGTAAGAGCATATATCCATAGATGGCTTAGAACAACGTGCTATCTCGAGCACAGCCTTCATAAGCACGTGTCTGTCGGTCTTCATGCGTTTGGGTCTCAATGAAGTTTGGGTCTCAATTCAGAATGGATAAAGCTTGTCTCTGGCAACGGAGCTTCCATTGATTGTGTTGCCAGTGTAGAACTTTCCTGGAATATTAGCTAAACTGAAGTTCTTTAGTGTAGTGTAGTGACATAACTTTTTGAGGTGTTTAAGCATTTATTGGATGATGTTTGCAGTATTTAAAAAAAAAAAATCATCTTTTTCTTTTTTTTTTTTTCCCCCCTGCCTACTAAGACTGGGTAAACAAGTACTGAGGTTGAACTGTAGCGCTTGCTCATATTGTCGTCGTGGTGTAAAGAGCCTTCCAGTTCTGATGGCTGTTGCGTCCTTGCCTGCTGAATAAACAGGATGCGTGTCTACATTGTTCTCAGCATGATGTTTTAAAACAAATAGTCTAAACCAAGACTAATTCTGGATTTATTTTTTTTTTTTATTTGTTGCTAAGTGAAGATGCACCTTCTAGCAGGTATTAAGGTCCTAATTTCGGAAGTATGAAGCCCTCGCAGTTTGTAACGACTGAAAACTAGGTGAAATTAAGTGTCTGTAAATGGAAGAACAGATTGGCCATATAGCTTTTAAAATCATGGAAGTGGATTAATCTGGTGAGTAAGAGCCCGTTTATGCTTAAAGGTCTATTACAAGGAAATCTTACTAATGCAGTACAGGCAAGTCCTCTCTAAGAGCTGGAATCCTTCCTCTGTTCTAAACATGATTGCCTTACTCCAGGAGTTGGGTAAATGTCCTTAGAGGAAAGTGCGATATAGAAATACAAAAGATACTGGGGAGTCAGGCTCAGCTTTTTAGCCAAGACTGCTTTTTATGAATGCAGGGTTTAACGATGAGCTCTTTGAGTATTTAGGTCGATATACAAGGTTCTTGGTTTTGTACTGGAAAAATAAAACCCGACACAACATCTGGTACTAGTCTTTCCCTTCTCAAATTTTGCAGCAGTGATTGTGAACTCTAATAATTATACTCAAAATACTTACGTTGTAGTACAACAGCTTCAGTCAAGGAGAGTTTTTTTTTTTTTTTCCTTTTTTTGGCCCTTCATGTATTCCCTTGCTGCCCACCTACCCTGATCTCTTGCTCTCAAAAGCAGCTGTGGTAGCTAGTCTTGGTTCTCAAATTTCTGATTTAAGGGAGATGAGGTGTTAGAGACAAGGTACTGTACTGGGAATATAAGTTTTCAGCGCTGTGGCGGGGGACCAGGAGATGGCTGTTGACAGCGATACCGCAAGCTTGTTCTGCTGCCTGTATGATACAATCACTGTCCACAAACAAGAGGAACTTGGCAGCCCCCTTCCCACCAGCAAATACCTCGATCATTTGTTAACTGAACTTTTGTTAAAATATAGAGCGTGCCAGAAATGTTAAACAAAAATCGAAGTTCGTATTTCTCACGGTTTCGAAGTCTTAACTGCTGAGCGCTTGGGTACTCTGGTCTGGTGTGTTCATAGATGCTTTCTGTTAAATGAAAGTTGTTGGGATGGGAAATGAGTTCTGGGAAGACTCACCCGTCAGCTGATTGCCGTTCGCATTGTGTAAAGGCACTGAAACAGCATAAAGCTCTTGCCTCACTGCTCCATTGATTTTTTTTTTTTTTTTAACCTTATTTTAATGGTCTTTATTTGGGAGAAGTGGGGAAAGATCTTTAAGGACACTGTCAGATTTTTGCTCTGCTCTGCACGACTGCTCCAGCCCCAGCTATGTATTCATGGCCTAAAATGGAAAGGCTTCTCTTCATAAGTGCTAAGCAAGATTACACCATTCTATTTTTGTGCTAATTGTCCTAGAAATAGTTGGAAAGAAAAACTTTCTAATGCCTCGTAATGCGCCAGTTTATAAAGCATGTAAAGTTCATTAGTTAAAATCGTGATTCTTTTTCTGAAGAACCTTTTTTCAGTAGGTTTTCAGCAACCCCGATGGTCAGTGATAACGTCTGCAAGTGATGACCCGGAGAGTTAAAGACTTTTCTCCTCCTGTTTCATTGTCTTCTCTTAGGAATTTCTCATGTATTCATAATCTTAACGTGCCCTAAAAATTCTTTCAGGGGCAGATCTTGCAGATTTGAAGAGCTGGAAGGGCTGATCTGTACAAAGGTATTTAACAGGCGTTTGTTGCTGCACTGACAGCTGAGGGAAAGAACTGCTGCTTCCAGCACCGCTTCTGAGGCTCTTTGCTTTTTAGGGGTGCAGTACCGGAGCAGGAACCAGTCTGAAACACAAGGGTGGGTGCTGAAGCCTCACATTCAAATTTTGGGTGAAATTAAAGTAGAAACTATAAAGGAAATGGCAAAAGAGTGTTGCGGACTCCAAGAGGAAGAAGAAATGATGTGTTGAACTGAAAGAACTTAATTGAAGAGGTCTATTAGGCTATTCTTCCTTATTTAAGTAGGAAAGTAAAAATCGGGAATAACCCAAATTTTGCAATACTCTCCCTGAGCTTGCCAGTGGGGGTTAGTTTTGGTTTTGCTGCAGCAAGTTTATACTTCCAGCGATCGGTAGGAACACAGGCAGCTATCAGCTATCCAAGGCCACGGGGACATAGAAGAAACTCTGATATAAACCATGGCTAATACTGAAATTTGTGCAAACTAAGCTGTAAAAAGCCATTTGCCCTTTTGATCCTGGTTTACCTTTTTTCAGACAAGGGAGATGACATTAAACACCTTCAGACAGTGGAGGAAGGCACATAATTCCCACACGTTGTGCTACGGTTAGGATTAGTGGTGGAAGGCAGAGCTTGGTTTAATTCACAGCCCAGAAGGTGGACGTTACTACAAGTGTAGACCTGGTTTAACCCTGCGGAGTTGATTTCCTTTGCAGCCACTGCTCTGGCTTTGAAAGACATCCACGACCGGAGCTCCTGAATCAGAGAATTGGGAGGTAGAACATGTCTGTTGAATAACATAATGTTTTTAAGCTTGCACTAAACTTGCCTTTAGTGTGTGTTGGTCTAGTACAAACTTAAAGCAAAATTTGAATTTTGCTTGGGTGAATTGCTGAAATTAATAAATTGCTGCAATTAATTAAATCCCCCCGCTCCCCCCCCTGCCAAATGGTGAATTTCCACATCTCCCACCAGGTTGGTGCAGATGGAGCTGCTTTGCTATCGCTCGCAGATGATGCTTCTTGCTGTCTTCTGCATGTCTTTTCAAGAAACTTCAAATCTTGTGAGACTTTTCACATGCTTATTTCTCACACACTGAATTTGGGTCAGTGATGGCCAAGTGTTTTTTACTCGTGAAGTGTCCTAAAGCTTTATTACTGAAGTATTTGTAATACAATTACTTTAATGTAAGAATGTCTGATCAAAGAGATTTTTACTGGGGGGTGGGGGTAGTGGGAAGAAAGCTATGAATTCAGATTTCCACTTATTTGCATTGCTGAAATTGCGTTCCCATGCAAGTAGCTGTTGCCGATCAGTAGGAACCCAAGAAAAGAACAATTTAAGAAGGGGGGGAAACAAAAAGCTGCTGAACAATTCTGTGACTGTATAAGAACTTCATAGAAGGTTTCTCAAGCTGACGTTACATCTTCTTTACCAAAAATGAATACAGTGGAAACTATGCCCTAGAACTTAAATATCTTTTTTTCAGAAAGGCCACCAGATTTATTTCTTTGCCTACATGCGCTGGTGCTAAAAGCAGTGTCATGGTTCCTTTCGCAGGTTCCCAGACAATCACAGCTTTTCTCCTATTTCTAACTCCTGATCTCCCCTACTCATATTTGAAAAGGGAAACCCCAGAGTTAACTAAGCCGGACAGATGACAAGAGGCATCCGCACCAAAACTTTAAAATAATAGCAATAAAGAATTGTTGGGTGTTGCAGTTTCTCCATCCCCTGGTGCTCCGTGAAGCTGTCCTGAGTATCTGTGGTGTAGTTCCTACGTGTCTGTGTGCTCAACGGATTTGTGAAGTGAGATAAAAAGTAAATCGGTTTTGTACTTCTCTAGAATATGCAAATATCTGTG